AAGGTTCAATCTAGGTTCGTCCGAAAATTTTGATTTTTATATAGAAGACATAGTTTCATATACATAATTAAATTTTCAAACAAATTTGATCATACCATTTATTAAGCAGGATAGTATATTAATTACCATCAGTATAAAAATATAAAAATGATTATATTTAATTATTGCATAATTTAGTCAAAGAGTTATAAGCCTCAAGTGATCGTTATCACCTTCAATGCACGTATACTTTATTGATTCATAGATATTTAATCTATGTTTGACATGTTGTTGTCGTCATTCGTTTTGTTCCCATTCTTCCTAAGTTAGAATTAGAGAATACACCATCCACATCATCTAATTTGGTCCTCAGCGATAGATTGGTTCATTTTGGAGGAGTCCCATCAGACAGTTTTCGAGCACCAAATATCAAATTTTAATGTATACAAATCTTTAGTGATTTATCTCTTTTATGATGAGTAAAAGGTTTCTGCTCATCAACATTTGATTTCCGACATATATGATTTCTAATTGCAATTATTTACTTTCTTTTTATAATCTAACTCTGTGACTCATACCATAAATTAATTATTGGAAAGTGTCAATATGTTTGGCACAACGAATGGCGGAAGATACCAAACCATGCAGGGAATATGATACGTTTAAGATCTCCGAACTTTTTTTCCAAAAATTTTCTATCGTTGCCCTACCTCTTTGTATAAACTGTTCCATAAAATTTCTGATAATTGAAAATTTTGTATGATCGGCAGTTTTCAATAAAGATTTAAATCAAAAATGAGTCATGCGTGGCTAACTATACAAAGGTACATTCACTAGGCAATAACAGTAAAATGGGATGAAAATAGGATAAATAGCATCCCTATATAGTGCCTAACAATATTTATACGGGCCAAAAAAAATTTGGCTAGAGATTTGGCGAGTTATAAAACTTAGAAAATTGAGAGGGATTTTTATTTTTGAATTTTTTTTGGAAAGTTAAAATTGCGATTAAAAATCGATTTCCAGGAGAACTAAGCATCTCATCATATATTTAAATCGATAAAAATATTAAATAATAGTTGAATAGTATAACAACGTGAAATTATGGCTGAATCTACAGAAAAAATGAACATATTTGACATTTTTGAAAATTCATACGTTAGATGGTGACAGACTCATAAACTATACTTTAGCTAAGATTGATATATGGTTTCAACAACACATGGTTAAAATCGTAAAAATATTTTAGATTTCAAAAAGATATATATGGTAATATAATGGAACAAAGTCAACAAATAGCATGTTAAATATGTTATAATTAACTTTTTATTAGATCCAATAGTAGATATCGAATGGTTTCCAGCTTTATGGTTAAATATTTTCTTTTCGAGCTTCTCTTTAACTGTTGTATTAAGGTTGTAAATTTTTGATGCTAGAAACTATGGAATCTTCTTTGCTGCTGCATTTTTCTTGAGAGTTCTTGCAATTTCGAATAGATCTGCGCATTGTATGAAATGGAGGCTTTAAAATATCTTGAAAACAGAATAGGACTGCTTTTCCAAAGGAATGCTTACTTGTAAATCAGAGAGTTTCAAAATTGACAGCAAGATTATCATCATAACTGTCGATTTTGCTGCGAAAAAGGAAGACAAGTAATTAACAAATCATTTACTGTTGTTCATCAAAAGAAGAAAACTTTGATAACAACTAATGATGATAAAATCAAGCTATCTTTTAATATTTTAAATTGATAAGACATTCAAAATATTTGAATGGTTTAAAATATTTTCTTTTAATTTCTATAAGATATTATCATGATTATATAATAAAATTTAAATTTTTATTCAAAAAGGCAATATTTCAAACTTTTAATTTCAAAAATCTTAATTCTGCAATAAGTGTATTTAATTGTAGCAAATTTAATGATCCTTCGTCATGCTTAGCAATTTGGAACTCATAAATTAATGATTTCTTCAAGTAAAATTCTGCATTATTTCAAAAGTCAATAATTCTCTAGTAACTTTTCTTCAAACCTTAACCATTATATTATATGTATAATGGAGAATAATTGCAAAGAAAGATAGCCGAATTTACTGGGTAGTTCTTGTGATGCGAAATAATTGCAAATTAACACCTAGTTTTAACAGCATCAATCTCTTTTTGCTCTCATTTAAATGCATTCGCACACTTTAATTTTGAAATATAAGAGTTTTGGAAATTATCAAATTTATCTGCTCAAATACTATAGATCTTCATAAGTGTTAATAGAATCATTAGCCTTACATATAGTGTTTAATATAATGATGCACATTATACTGGGATTCATTCCTTATTCATCTAGTTATTATAAGATTTACAACCCCATGAAAATTTAAAATTTTGTCAAAAATAGTGAATGTACCTTTCTCAAAACTTAAGATATCCTCCGAGTTCAAAGATTTAAAAAAACACAAAAAAATTAACTTTACTCTTTTGAGATCCTTATCAGATGTGCAACAATTTGATGCAGTATCGCAATTCGAATCCGATTTTTTAATGTAGATGTACTCTAACATTCTTGAAAAAATGCAAAATGATATTAATTAAGCTTTTCATTTCTTTATCATACACGAAACAAAATCATTCATTATACTAAAATTTATCAAAGTTTGAATAACGAAAAAAATAATATCTAAATTTTTACATTGAGTCGGCTATTGATATGGTCAATATTAAATCGTTTAAAAATGGGCATTGGCCAGAATAATACCCACTAAAATAAAGGTAGGTCAACAAAATCGTAACGATGCTTTCTTGATTTTGGTAATGGATTTAGACTATGTAGGTACTCGGTGACTAATAGACGAAGAATGGAAGAAAACTGCAAGAGGGATTTCGAGGAAATATTATTAAAATTAACATTTGATTCTTTGACTTGCAAATAAACATATTTGTACTATTAATCGGTTTTACAGAATAGATCTTGCGTTATTGTATGTTTTGAAAAAGTATCTAGAATTTTTCCTAAGATACTCATTTTGCGAGATAAAATGATATACCATCTACTAGACATTTGTGCATTGCTTCCTATATGTAGCTAGTAACTACAGAAATTGTAGTTTCAGGAAATTTGAATACATTTGGAATTCTAAGAAAGACATTGTAATATTGAGCATCTCCTATTTCAATATACCATATTGATGAAAATATAAATTCATGTAATCTGTCCTTAAATATGCTATCTAAACTTGTGATAGAAACTCAATTTCACCAGAAAATATGAGAAAATTCCAAATTGTGAAATAAAACGAACATATTCACATATGAGATAACAACCATCTATATTAGGTTTCTCAATTCTTCATTCAAAATTCCAAAAAAAATTCAAAAATTTGAAAATGAAGAGAAGAAATATGAATTTTCCATGAAAATTTGCAAAATGAAAAAATTTTGGAATTACAAATATTATTTATTTTTGATGCTTGTTCCAAAATATGTCTTTTTTCCCATATCTGATATGAATATTTTGGATTATTATTATAATTTATATTTATTGACATATTTCATGATATTCATATAATGGTTTGTTTTAGGGAATGAATGAGAATATATTTATTTAAAAAAAGAGAAAAGGTATTAGAATAGATTTTTATTTGAGCGTATTTAAAAGGTTCTACTTCAAAAACTTTATGTAGTTTACTTTTGTAAGCAACGTAAAACAATATCTTTAAGTTATTTGTTGCAATTCGGGATTAATCGTGAATTTTTGTTGTATATTAGTTAAAAATTAGTTTTTAGTAGATAAATTCGTCATGTTCCCGTTTGTAACTCATTTTGTTTTTGCTTTATTGATGAAATTTCAATTTGTTGAGTGAATATCGACAAATTTGTTAAATCTTGTTTTAAGCGCAGCAGCAATATTTGGAGTCTATTAACTATATCTAGACTTTCAGTATTTTGCATTATTTTTATTGTTGAGGTTAGAACAATCGCCTAACTAAGTAACGCATGTATGTAAAATGACTTTTTCGCGAAAACGGTCTTGCAGATTTTTACGAGAGTAAGATATCAATATATACAACAATTGAGGATTAATTTTATTGCAGTGGTTTACGATTTTCATCGTTCAAAGTATCGGGGCAGATTATTAAATTTTAAGCTATACAATTTCCATTGTAGAGCTTTATATTTTGAAAGAATAGAACAATTGGACATATTATTATTAAGTATAAATGGAATCGATTTTAAATTGCATATATGTCAACACTGTTTCTGACATTAATGTAAATACAAAGTACTAAACTACTATGCATGAAGAAAACTTCAATTTCTCTCCACAATTAAGAGAAGTTTGGAGTTTTATTACTGAGAAAAATCCGCTTGAAGTTGTTCATGAGAATTTAAAAAATTGCAAACAATTTCTTTAATCGTTCGGACATCAAAATTGAAATAAAAATTGTTGCACCTTTTTCGACAGTAAATGATAATAAAAAAAGAATTTTCAGAGGTGTAAAAAATAAACTTCTCAAATAGAAGGACCATGCTAAATGGAATGCGTCGCATACCCACCCAGTAAAAGTATTTGTGAAGCCATCCAGAGGAGTTAGGGCTTCTCCGTGCGTCATTGTTATGCCTCAAAACCAGAAACGAAGAGAGGAGACGAAATTTCCAAATTAATTTTGGAATCCCGGCCCAAATCAAAAATTTAACCATATTTCCCAGTAGAGTGGAAGAAACTACTTATTATAAACAATCTTTATTAAAGAATAAACACCCACATCTCTGTAAAATTCTTTTTTTATATTTACTGTCAGAAAAAGTGCAAACAATTTTTTTTCTTTCAATTTTGATTTGCGAACGATTTTTTTTCTTGCGAAATAACGTACTAAAATACACTTTTTTAAAATTTTATCAATTTGTTATGGTATATCTTTATGATAATGAATAAAATGCTTATTTTTCATAAGTAAATACATAATTTATGCTGAAACACAAAAAATAACACGAAAATTTCTCTACAAACATAGTATAAATTGAAGTTACTAAAATTCATGAGGTGGTGAATTCAAGTAACTTGGTTCATGAAAATGAACAACAACATCTTCCATTGTTGTCCAATGTCTTGCATTAACGGCATCAACTACTCTCTGTGTGTATTTCACCATTGCAGGAACATCCACAGGATAAACGTCGGGGCCTTTATGTGGAGTTTTAGGATGGATAACTCCAATTAAGAAAAATCTTAAATTCGCGCAAAGCTGAAGATTTGGTTCATCTACCTGAGTAGTGAACATTAAACACATTCCACACTTTTCATGTTATATATTATAAATACAGATCCGAAGGAGCAACAAGAACTTTCAATGATTGCCAAAACTTAACAATTGTTTCTACAGAACTTGAGAATTGAGAATCAGCTATTTCCCATTTACAGCCTTCATCAATCTTTGTACCACTACTTATGGCTTCATAAAGCTTATTAACATCATCGAAATTTCTTCCACTTCCCTTTGGTCTGTCATTGATCACAAACCTTGTAGGTTTGATTTTATTAAAGTTGACTTTTGTTTTTATCAGCTTTCGTAGCCTGTCAAGGCCTCCTGCAGTGTAGCCGTGAGCATATTCTAAACTATTTATCAGCCAAAGGGAGTGAACATATATTTGTTGTGACAAATCTACAAACGTCACTTTATATCCTAAAAAGTTTAAGATTTCTTGAGTAATTTCTCGATACATCGGAGGGGAATTAACCATGAAGCCTCTTGAAACCAAATCTTGTGGAACAAGCATCATTGCACAAAGGAAATCATGAATATTGTGGCCATACATATTAAAATACTGAATATAATAAACTAATTCAAATAATTCTCCAGTTGTCTGCATCATTGTGTGACCGCCATGGTCCTGATAAATTGTCTTAAAACTTCGCTTTTCATCTGAGATCTGACCTTTCGAAACAAAAACGTCTTTAAATAATGTAACATAAACCATACTATGAGTTATGTAATTGCTCGGAACTATTGCTCGTTCTGTATATGTTCGACCTGATATCAGGGCATAGTTAATCACTTTCGGATCATTTTGATAAAAAACCTTATCCATTTGAACATAGGGACATTGATACCACCATGTTTTATGGTTAATGTTTTCTTGTGTTTTCGGTCCTATTATTCTGACGCTGAAGCGAATTAAAGAATCTTCATATCTATAATTCGAAAAAATGGTCAAGAAGGAAGAAAAAGCAATAAAGAAGTTTATAAATATTGCATTAGGTTGCATTGAAGAGCTTGCTTTGTCTGTTAATGATGTCTGGGATTCCGTAAGGAGTTCTGCTGCAAAAAAATGATGAATGGATTAAACTCTGATAACACCCAATTTATATATAATCCATTGTGGTGGTCTTTTTAAAAAACGAGTCCTTTTTTTCTGAGATTTCTGATCGCTTCCTTTCTGCTCGTCATGCCCGAAATGGAAGAAATGATTGATATAGCCGAACTTATTACTCTAATTGGCAATTATCTTGTATAATACAATTAGTTGCATTGTCAGTTATTCTCAAGCATTATCGAATTTAAATTCAGCATCGCTAATTTGCATTGTATTGCAACAGCACATGTGTGTTGAGATAACAATAATATTACACCAGCTAAAATCACACAATAAAAATCGAAATTTTGCATCTCGAAAAAACAACAACAGAATTCTTCGTAATCTTGGGTATTTACATACATTGTGATACATATTCGAATGACCTGAATGTATGGGAAGTTACTAAAATTTGAGGAATTTATTGCAATAAAATAAACAAAGGTCATCCTTATTATATAAATTTGTAAAGAATAGCGAAGACCTTTACAATGTATGCACAGTCCCGCATATTAACTTTGAATATTTCTGATTTCATTTTGAAACATTTTGACTAGAGTATTGATAACTCAAATTTCCGATATAGTTACTACATTAATGCTAATGTAGTAAGTTTCCATTCATCTATTTACTTGATGTTATTGAAATAAAATCAATTTTATTTAACTATCCTTAAATAATATTTTTGTTGTGGAAACAATATATCTAACGATGGTTATGGTATCTGACTAACTCTGGAATGAATGTTTATCAAATATGATATCAAAATCAAAAAAATAAATGTGTTTAATGATTAAAAACTAGTTAAATTGAATGTTTGACTAATTGTCCAGTACTTTGATTATCCAAATTTTTTTCGAAATTGATTTTTTCAAGAGAAACATTTAAATTTTGAATTTCATTTTTGAATTTTCGAATTTTTTTTGGAGTCTTAAACTGATAAATTAAGCATAATTTGTAATGCCATCGCTTTATGTACAACATATGGTGATGAAATGAAGGCGGATTTTAAAAACTTATTTTAAATCAAAAATATTTTCCTCATTATCATTAATTCTAAATTGATATATACAATACACAGATAAGGCGTGAACTAAATTAGAAATATACTTGAATAAGAAGAGTAAAAGTCAAGTTTTTATTCATTTTATAATTGATTTAAACAAAAAATTACTTCATTTTAATATTCTAGTCGCTAGATGAGATTTTGCTCGTATTTGTTTACAGAGCCATATCATTTCTTGCAATTGAATTTGTTATGGAAAGAGGTATGGAAAAAGTTTTTCGTAGAGAATACAATATCTCATATAACAAACGTGAGATATTGTTGTAAAAATCCGTAATTTAGTCAATCCAACATACTTTACAATATGAAAATTGAATTCGATATTGAGATTGGGACAAAGTTGCAATTCGGCACTTTTTGTAAAAAAATGGGGTCATACTCATAATGAATAGAGACTTATAGCCAAGTCTTGATATCATGCAGGGAGAATATACATTGATAAGCAATTATATTTTATAGTAGTAGTATTCAGAAATTCTTACAATTTACAATACAATTTTCAAAAATGGATAAAGACTAATAGCCAAGTCTTGATATCATGCAGGGAGAATATACATTGATAAGCAATTATATTTTATAGTGTTGTAAACGAAAACGATAAAAACGGTTTGACAAAAAGTGACACTTTGCATGGCAAAAATAGAGCCTTACTTTTGAGATACTTGAGATTGAAACTGAATCTTATGAAGCGGTGATCTTGAATCACTAAATCATAAGGTTCAGTTTCATATAAAATTTGTTATTCTTTTGGAATTATTTCTTATAAGATTTTACATCTTTTAGCGGGGAATGTTTGTTATCATGTATATATTATAAATATTTACACGATAACGAACATTCCTCACTAAATTACTGAGAAACTTTGAGGAAATGTCGAACAATTTCCTCAAAGTTTCTCAGATTTATATAGATAACTAGAGTCCCCTAGGCACTGATTCTGGTTCAGCACCTAGGAGGCTCTGGTTATCTAACGAACTGATAAAATGTTTTTAAATTTTGTGAATATTGCTACCTGTGAAGCACTGACTTCAAATCAGTACCTCACAGGTAGCAATTACATTGAAATATGGGAGAAACTTTGTCCGAATGTTAAACTATTCGGACAAAGTTTCTCCCATTTGTAGTGGAGATGGAAGGCTTTGAGGTATATTGTATTAATATATACCCCAAAGCCTTCCATCTCCACTTGAAAGTGTCCAAACTTTGGGTTAATAGTTTGCAATTAACCCAAAGTTTGGACACTTTCTAGAAGGAATTGGATGGTAAGAGATATACATTCATATGGTATATCTCTTACCCTCCAATTCCTTCTTAAAATGGGAGAAACTTTGTCCGAATGTTAAACTATTCGGACAAAGTTTCTCCCATTTTGCGAAGGAATTGGAGGCTATGAGATACTGATGAAATGTCAGTAACTCATGGCCTCCAATTCCTTCCTAAAACTCATAAAAGTGGACCTTACATGCATTTAAAATTTGACATGTAAAGTCCGCTTTTTGTGAGCGGGGATTTGACTCCGTCAAATCCCCTTTTTCGTTAACGAGAATAGTAGTAGTATTCAGAAATTCTTATAATTTACAATACAATTTTCAAAAATGGATAAAGACTAATAGCCAAGTCTTGATATCATGCAGGGAGAATATACATTGATAAGCAATTATATTTTATAGTAGTAGTATTCAGAAATTCTTACAATTTACAATACAATTTTCAAAAATGGATAAAGACTAATAGCCAAGTCTTGATATCATGCAGGGAGAATATACATTGATAAGCAATTATATTTTATAGTAGTAGTATTCGGAAATTCTTACAATTTACAATACAATTTTCAAAAATGGATAAAGACTAATAGCCAAGTCTTGATATCATGCAGGGAGACTCTCTACAAATACAAAAATTGATTATCATAAGGAAATACAAATTTATCAATTTTCATGTGAAAATTACATAAATTTGTTCTCCAATAAATAGCAATAATACTTTGAATGTTATATTAAGTAATATAGCTTCAGGTAAATAAGCTTACACTTCAAAAATATACTGTTTATTCATTAATTTTAAAAAAAGTCCAAATTATCTAATCTTGCTTACTCTTCCTTTAAACTTCTTTGTGCCAAATTTAATATTGCCTTCAAAGATGGAATAAGGACATTAGGTTCAATCCTTCGGCTTTCGACAATTTCCAAAATGTGTTGAATTAATTTCAAACATTCATCGTGTTTTGAAGCTCTTTGCTCAACAATCTGATTACCTGCCCTTGTAAGAATTCTTACTGCTCTTTCTTCATTCAAAACATTAGCGACTTGAACCTTAATAATCGCATTTGGAATCACAACAGTGATGAGAGTTATGACGATGTCATCAATGCGCTCATTTTTCTTACCCAAGAAAAATGTTTGCTTTAATTGATGAAAGTGTGATTCCGCAATGTTATTCGTGGAATCACCTTCTCCACGATATAACATCATCCAATGTTCTTTGGTTCTTCTCCATTGTTTATCGAAATACTTCAAAGCGCGCGGTTCTTCTTCTTCTAACATTGTTGTCAAGAACTCATATGTTTCATCAGACTCTTCAGCCAGCTTTTCTGCATTCGTTGCATCTGCACGTAATGTCAAAAAGTCCATTGCTAAATAGAAGTTCTCAAAATTCTGTGGATTGTCAAAATAGCTTCCAACTTTTGCACATGCGCGTAAAACATGCACAGCGCACCAACTGAGCTGCGCAAGAGGAAATCCATCCTCAATTGCGCGAGCAATGTTTAGCGCACAGTCAGCGCTCCAATGCTGTGGATCCAGGTGCGCAAACTCACAGAATTTCACCAAACATTCTTGAATTTTTTCAGATGTCTGAGGGTTC